TACGGGGTGTTTCATTTAAAATAGCGATGTTGCCACTGGTTTAGAGTAGAAGCGGCAACACCGCATAAACAAAAATATTTTTAAAGTGTAGATCACGGTCATTTATCCCGGTTGCCAAATTTCCAAAATGATCCGCTTTTTAGTTCTCCGTACACGTCTAATACGCCATCCACCGTGAAATTGTATGGTTTTTTATTTCAATATCGAATTTTAAATATACAAACAAATTCCCTTTTTTCCCAAACATTTGCACGCACATAGATGAAAACTTAAAGCCTTATTTCAAGAGGCGGAACGAATTATTATCAATTGAGCAAAAATGTTTATTATTGGGAAATAGAGTGATTATACCTAAATCTGTGCTGAACTAATGGGGTGATTCGAAGTAAAATGCTTTTGAGATCCTATTGTTGGTGTCCTAATATTTTGTGGCATTCTGACAAGCAAATGGAATCAAACCTATTAAATCACCTCCTTATCACCCACAAAGTAATGGGGTGGTGGTGTACAGGGTGGGCCAATTTGGACACTTTCTTATGGAAACACCCTTTATTTTTGGAGATAGAAAAAAATGAGCCCCCCACTCTGGGGCTCAGATTTTATGAAATTTTGATTGGTGCAAACCGCATTTTGATACCTTCAACCGTTTAGCCGCTAGAGGGCGATTTTCGATTTGGAGCAATACTGTGAAACCTTCATAACTTTTTTATTTATGAAAATAATTCATTTCTGTATATAGACTTTCTGCAAGCATTTTTTTAAGTCGAATTGAGTGACGTTCTCAGCTTTTTTCTATTTGGCTCCGATTCCGAGATATTGACCAAAATCCGATTTTTTTCAATAGGACATCCTATATATTAATAGCTCATTGAAAAGCTCTGCTTTTGCTGATTTCAATGATATAAAATTCGATAGGCTTATCTCCAACGGTTTCCGAGAAAAAAATTATTTCGATTTTTGTCATAAGACACAATGTGTTGGAAAAGGACTTTATCTCTGTAAGGAAACTGAGAGAGGTCTCTTTCTAACACATTGTTTCTTATGACAAAAACCGAAATAATTTTTTTTCTCGAAAACTGTTAGAGATAAACCCATCGAACTTTATATCATTGAAATCAGCGAAAGCATAGCTTTCTAATGAACTATTAATATATAGGGTGTCCTATTGAAAAATATCTGCTTTTGGTCAATATCTCGAAATCGAAGCCAAACCGAAAAAAACTGAGAACGTCACTGAATTCTGCTTGAAAAAGTGCTTCCAAAAGGTCTTTACGGCAATTAATTATTTTCATAAACAAAAAAGTTATGGAGGCTTTACAGTATTGCTCAAAATCGAGAATCGCTCCCTAGCGGTTAAACGGTTGAAGATATCAAAATGCGGTTTGCACCAATCAAGATTTCATAAAATTTGAGCCCCAGAGTGGGGTGTCCATTTTTTTCTATCCCTAAAAATAAAGGGTGTTTCCATAAGAAAGTGTCCAATTTCGCCCACCCTGTACAAACAGTGAAAAAGGGCTTAGAAAAGGCTTTGTTTGGGGAAGAAGTATCAGAGAAGTTAATTTTAAATAAATTGCAAAATTTTCTGTTTACTTACACACACACAAGCCTTACACTGTAACCGGAATCTCACCTGCTGAAAGCATGTTTAAAAACAAGCCAAGAACAAAGGTTCGAGTTACTGAAGCCTTCCTGTCAAAATAGTCAAAAGCCATCAAATGGGGAGGATCGTATTTTGTATGAAGTAAACGATAATAACTAGGCATTCAACTGGTGCAAGAATTTTGAAAAAATATTGAAAAATGGCGTCACAATCGTGAGTTAAACACAAAAAATTGCTTTTTTACGATAATTCAAAATAGTCGGATTTTTTTTTATTTTTTTTTTAAATTTAATGGAGCCCTCCGGATTCAGATCCGCAAGGCCATTCTCCACATTGTTCATATTTTTTAAAACGAATATCTTCGAGTGCACAGTTCGATGTGTAGGAGAAGTCTTTTCGGCAGTCTGCTCCTCGACAACGAGTATCGGCGGGTTCTGAGGTATAGACTTTGATAATAATGAAGTTAGTGATCAGGTTGGCAAGTCTGTAGTGTCTAGTGCAGAGCCTCACCAAAAGCAGCCTAATTATAAATATAATATCTCAACCTGCTATATCACAACCTTCTATATCTCAGCCTGTAACGGTAAACCAAGTTCGGTCGTTTCTTTAAATATATAACAATTATGACCGGCTCTGGATCAAGAATCAAGAGCTGGTGGTAATCCAAATTTCGACTATAAACCTCTAGATTCGCTGGATATTTTTTCCTGAAACAGTCAAGATCAAGAGCTGGCAAAGTTCCTAATTTTTACTATTAGTGGGTCCGAATACCTAATTGCCTATCTAATTGTGCATCGAATCAAGACCGAAAAATATCTTGATTATTAAGCGCTTCTGATTCGCTAGGCAATTTATTTATAGAGACAATCAAAAAGTCGAATGCTTTATTACCAGCTCTCGATTCCCTATAGTGATCATAATTTGAATATCACTGGCTCTTGATTGCCTCAGAAAATTGTGCACTGAATCAAGAGCCGTTAATAATCAAAATTTGAACTATCTTGTGCTCTGGATTCACTTGTAACAAATCACAAGTTGATAGTATTCAAAATCTGGATTATTGTCCGGCAAAAGTCCAAATTATGATCATTAACGGCTCTTGATTCGCTAGACTACTTTTCTAAAGGCAATCAATAGTTGAAACTTGGATTATTATTGTCTCTTGATTCCCTGGATTACCGATAATAATCAAATTTTGAATACTACTGGCTGTTGATTGGATCTATAGGTAAGTCTATCAAATCAAGAGCCGTTAATAATCAAAATTTGAACTATCTTGGGCTCTAGATTTACTTTTAATAAATCATTCAACAAATCACAAGTTTATAGTATTAAAAATCTGGATTATCGTCCGGCAATAGCCCAAATTATGATTATTAACGGCTCTTGATTCGCTAGACTAAATAGGTACTTTTCTATAAGATTATTATTGACTCTTGATTTCCTGGATAACCGATAAACATCAAATTTTGAATACTACTGGCTGTCAAGTGATTATAGGAAAATTTTCTATCGAATCAAAAGCCATTAATAATTAAATTGTGAACTATCTTGACCTCTGGATTGCCCTTTGATAAATCATACAACAAATCACAAGTTGAGACTAATTAAAATCTGGATTATTGTCCGGTGATAGTCGAAATTATGATTATTAACGGTTCTTGATTCGCTAGACTACTTTTCTAAAGGCCAGCAATAATTGAAACTTGGATTATTATTGGTTCTTGATTCCCTAGATTACCGATAATAATTAAATTTTGAATACCACTGGCTGTTGATTGGATCTATAAGAAAATATATTCATGCAGCAAATCAAGAGCTGGTAAGTGATACTCGATCGATTACCGCGAGGCTGATGTCTCGAAAAATCAAACATTTCCCACTAAACTAAACTAGCATAAATAACTCGGTCGATTGTATCTCTTGGACTAGAATCAGAGACCAGAATTTAACAGAAACTTGAAGATTAGAATTTGTCAGTTTAACAGAAAATTGATAAGAGGCAGAAATCATACAAATTTGACAGAAATTTAGCAAGAATTCACTAGAAATGAGTGAATTCGACCGCAAACTTGAGACTTATAAATCAGAAATTAGGGTTTGCTAAGAATTTTACATGGACAGAGAATCTCAATTGGAGTCCCAAATCAACCAAAAATGTAGAATATTATCAAAAATCAGCAACATTTTGATAGATTCACAAATGAGAGAACTCGTGAGAGAATATACCTGAAACTTTGCTAAAAAATCAATTCAAAGCAGGAAATATGTCAATAATTGAATCAGATTTTACAAGAAATTTAATCAAATTTGGCTTGAAAACAAAATGCAGTTGTAGACGTACACAACAATTTCGAAGCGAACTTTTCTAAAAATTCACTTTAAATCCAGTTGACTTCAGTACAAGTTAAAGAAAAACTCAATTTTAATCATGGTTGGTCAGTTTTGTTCTTCCATTGTTTAATAAAGTTGTGCTTAAAAGAAAAACTTTATATACAGGGTGAGTCGGGAAGGGTGAGCCAAATTCCAGGGATATATCCAGGATCACTCCGCAAGTTTTCCGCTTTACATGATACTTAGTTTAGATTCTTTATTCAATATTTTTCCGTTGCAATGCACGATTTTCTACTTTTGTAAGTACTAAGGCATGTGAAATTCCGCTGTAAGTTTCAAGATCACCACCTCAAATTGGATTTATGTTGAACCATCTTTTACAATGTGTTCACGATTACCATCAAATAAAATTAGAACGGAGTTGTTGATAATCAACTATAAATTGATTGGTCCCATTAAGGTGGAACAGAACAGTAGTGAGCGTAAGTGCCAAATTATGGACCAACTGGTAAGTGTTTGGTTGTTACCTAACAGGTACTTTCTATTATCTAGAGCATAGAAAGTACCTGCTAGGTAACAAACAGACGTTTACCAATCACTCCATAATTTGGCCCTAAAGGAACTTAATCAACTCAACTATCTATACACTCTACACTACCAAAATAACAAACTTGCTCCAGCTTGGCACATAATAGGTATGTAGAAATAGTCAAAAATTATTTTTCGTTTTTCCAATAAACTTTTATCGAACTATTAAAGTTTATTGGTAATTGTTCGATTTTATTGCTTATTCTTTACCGTGGGTTAAAAACAAATAAAAATCCGATTACAAGATTCATATGGGTTTTTTTCACATTCTTTTCACGCGTAAGTAGGTATATCATACATGCGTTTGTTCTGATTAGCTTTAGGACAGTTAATTAGGACACCAAGATTTGTCAGACTATCGGTCTGAACATGTTCTATGAAGGTATGGTCTGGACAATAAGTTTCGTACCAATGTAGGTATACTTGTGTTTAATGTTTAGGTAATATACTTTTGGTGAAGTAAAGCAATAATTCCTACCTTGATCCAGGACTATGGGGACTGTCTCGGCCATCGCTCTTAGCCGACCGAGGTGAACACAAACTAGAACTAGTTTCTCCTGTCCGAAAATTCAACTGTTCACTGCGAAACCCAAAACTACCCAAGTGTTCACTTTTAAACAAAAAACTATTCGGCGGCGACGGACAATCGCTGCTACTATTCGACGGACTGAGTCTGTGACGGTTCGTGGACGAGGCTGGACTAGATGAGGCTCGAACCAAATCGTTGTTTGTGATTTGTGATAGGGCGTTCAAGTGGTTCTCGATGTTTTTGAAACTCAAAGTGGACTCGGCGATTTCTGGCACGTTCGGGGGCTGATTTTCGGTTTCGTTGCCTACCGAGAGCACCGTATCGTCACTGGAACAACTGTTCTGATCGATTTGCGCGTCGAAATGATCACTACTCGAATCCATAGAGTCTGTAGGTGTGATCAAGCGCGGTCTAAAAGTAAGATGATGCGGTATCATACTAACGTTGGTAGCTAGAGCTGCCATAATGTCATTTTCTTTTTGCACCGGAAAACTAATTCAAGCGCGATCTTAAACAAGCAAAACTAAAACATCGATCGATCTTAACGCGGCAACTTACGACAAACATCTGAGTACTGGCCGGACACATAAAGGCGGAGCCACAGAGCCTAGTTGGGCGGACACGAATGGGCGTTATGCAACCCAACAAACGAATCCTAGTAGGAGGACACCTTCTCTCTCCGCGGGTTTTTAGGTTATTTATCGAACTCCCCAGATAGGGAGAGCGAAAAAAGTTGCCTGTCGGGATTTCAAAAGTGGCTTAAAGAGATTCTACACGGAGCATTTAAACGTATTACGATGTTGAATTGTTTTATGCTTGTGTGGATTTTTTGACGTGATGTCTTGTTTGCGGAATTCGATGGTGTTTGAGAAGGTTGAATTGATTGTTCGGTGACGGCTATATATGAATTCGTGATAGGACATTTATCACAACTACGATCACAGAGTTTTCGTTTACATACTCCAAATAGACAACACGAATAATTTATACGTGTATTTGCGGTAAATACAACAAATAGTAAATATTACCTAGGGTTTTTCTGTTTTCTGGTCATTCCAATCATTTTTTGTCACGTCTTTGTCTTATATTTCTTCGTCTACCGAGCCATTTTCTCACCTGATTGCCTGATGGCTTCTACTCAATGATTTTGATTGTGTAACGACATCTGCCACTCTTTGTAGATACATGTCCGATATTGTCTATGGTCCAAAGGCAACATCCTTGTCATCCTCTAATATACCTATAGTGAGCTTGATTTACACTGTCCACACTGACATCATATACATATTATATTCGCACACACATGTGTGCGAATATAATATGTATATGATGTCTGGTCTAAATGTGTATGCTAGGAACACTATAGAGGATCGCTTCTGTTTCTGATTTTCCCATCCATTTGGATTGAAACTTTTTCTACAATCTGTCATGTTAATTTATTCAACAATCTTAGTCACCTATCTGTATATAGTTTTTCTATACATGTTATCGTCATTTTCTGAGATATTCTACTCTATATATTATACCTATCAACTTCACCCAGAACTTTGGTATTTAGTTTGGTCTTCAGTATATTAACAACACTCTACTATATACCTTGACTATTTGTCTTTGAATCAAGAAAATATCCTTTTTTATTTGAATCCTCCGTAAGAGTAGGTATAATGCTCTATTTAGTTTTATAACACTTGAATCTATCAACATTAAGCTCCTCGGGTACCTACTTTGACATAAACATCTGACTCTACATAATTATTTAGGAAGGCTGTTGTAACTTTGAAACTGATATATATAGTAATTCATTGTGTAGTCGACGTTTATAATGTATCTCCTACTCACTTGCTATTCCACTATTCCATATATTGCCTCTCAACAGCCCAATTTTGAGCATCTTCTTGAGAATCATGTCAATATCATGATCCATCCGTATTACGGTATTATTTTACTTTTCCTATGCCTGATTCGGTCTATTGGTTTTCTCTTATTTAAGTTTATTCTTGTAAATTCTCCTCACATTAAGCTCTCTATTGAACTATACTCAAAAAAAAGTCTCTGAATTTTGCTACAGAACAATCAATGCTATACTACTCCTCACTTTCATAGGAGTCTTCTTGATTTATCTAACTTAGGGCCGGTTTATTCGCCTTCCCTTAAACTGTCAGGTATGCAATCTGACGGATAAAAACGCAATCTGTAATCCAATTGGTCGGCTAGTAATTCACCGACAAATAAAATTATACAACGTTAAATTTATCTTGCAGATAGTTACCAGCAAGTTTATCTAAAGATGAATAAACCGGGCCTTAATGGTACAAAATTTAAATATCACTGGCTCTTGATCGCCTTGAGAAACATTGTCCAGTGAATATGGATACTCAGTCATTGTTCCATTATTGTCACAAACACCTTAACCTAATTTTTGTTTGTTTTTGAAAAAATATGGAAAAATTCAGTTTTAGGAATTTAGATAAGTTATATAGGTATGTTTGTATGACGCAACAAGCAGTTTTTCCGCCCATACTGATAGGTAGATATCGGATATTTGTATGCAGTGTACCTATGTAATTTGTATATCCTGTAATATTTCATTCTGGGTTACAGCATTGATTCATGTTTTTGTGCCTTGTCACTTATCTTGTATTTAGCCGATAAACTATCCATAAAAGATTAATAGGTACCTACGCTATCATAATACTTATGTGCCGAAAAAAATAACGAGAATTATACTATAAGCCAGTTTCACAACTCGCGGCAACCTAACGGTAACGACAAGACAGTGGTAACCCGCAATATCTGTTTCGTTATGTGTGGTTTACCATTGGTCAAGGTTCAGATTATTTAACTCGAACCTTCTTTTGCGAACTTGCGGTCAAACAGCAACTGTTAGTTTGATACCCAGTGCAAATTTTGTGAAACTGGGCCTAAAGAATCAAACTGATGACTTAATTGGAAAAAATCTTATAGTCCGGGAGATTAAACTACATTTTGCTGTCTCCGCTTGAAATATGCTTGGTGATTTTCCCATTGGCTCCGAGTATCTGAATCCGTAGCACGAATACTCCGGCTCCAGTTTCCTTAGCAGTTTTGGAACCGTCTGTGTACCATTTGATGGTGTTTGCATTAAGAAATTGGATAGATTCCATCATGTTCCATCATGTTCCATCTTTTTTGTGTACTTAGTTCGATGGAAGTTTTTCTCGAAACTGAATTTATCAACAATCACATCTTTTGGTAGATCCATGAGGTGTGCACAGTTTAGGAAAGGAAAAGCTCTGCCAATGTGCGTTTCCCTTTGTAGACCTATCTTCTCCAGTCTGAGAGATGATTCACTGGCAACCTGCTCCACTATTATGTGGAGTAGTGTGAGGTCTAGAATGACTTCTAGTGCCGCGGTTAGGCATAATCCTATTGCTCCTGTTATACCAAAGACACGCGAGTCTTTGCACTTTTCCTAGGGTTTTCCTAGCTATTACTAGCTGGGTTCGGCTATACCAGGCTACCGCTCCGTAGGTGATGATTGGTCTCACTATAATGGTATACATCCATCTCAGGATTGATGGGTTACAACCCCATGTTTTACCCGCAATGTTTTTGCAGACCGTGAGTGCCGAAATTGCTTTGTTTTTTATGTTCCCTACAGAAGTTTACCACAAAAATTCCGATGATGACGCAACAAGCAGTTTTTCCGCCCATACTGATTGTTATAGATAGACAGTGTAGATACCAGAAACAAGATACCAAAATTCGGATATTTGTATGCAGTGCATGTAATTTGTAGATCATGTAATATGTGATTCTGGGTTACAGCATTGTTTTATGTTTCTGTGCATCGTCATTCTTGTATCTTGTATTTACTCTTGGTACTTATAAACTATCCATAGACTACCATAATATGTGCCGAAAAAAATCTGCTACACCAAAATTCTCGTCGTAGGTCGTATAGAGAGTTAGCTCCTGGACTATAACATAACCCAACAGTCGGTAACGACAAGACAAACTGAGTTCGGCATGGGATTTTAGTGCAGTGCTAGTGCGGTGTTCGAGTAGCGCAGTATTATATCACGTGATGAAGGTGTAATCAGCGGTGTAACACTGAATACACCATCATTTTGTACCGAGTAAACAGTGTCCCACCATCTTTACACTATTCGTGCACCAAATTATTTCCAAACGCAAATAAAGTGTAGGTACACCAAGCCAAACTTACTCCTACCAATTAACGAACGCCACAGTGTCAATAGAGTAAAAAGTGTCGACACTTTCCATCATTCCGAACTCACCTACAGTGGTAACCCGTAATATATATATTTCTTTATGTGTGGTTTAGGGCGGGTATTATAAAACTACTTTGAGATTTGAGAGTTAACTGTAAGTTAACTTCTGGAATTACATGTAATTAGACAAAACCATTAAGCTTCAGATTATTTAACTCGAGCTTTATTTCGCGAACTTGCGGTCAAACAGTAGCTATTAGTTTTATAACCACCAATTGTGAAACTGGTCCTAAAGAATCAAACTGATAACTTGGAAAAAAATCTAATAGTCCGGGAGATTAAACTACATTTTGCTATTCCAGCTTTTTTGCGGCACAATTGTATATATAAAGGTTAAAAATATCAATGTTTTCCTCCTCTCTTCTTAACAGAAACAAGGACAGAAGCATTAGTGCTGACGTCACTTGAGATCGTTATTTATGGTTGCTGTATCTAAACAAACAGTAGCCCAATCTTATTTATCAAATGAATATTTTTTTATGCAAACTGTTTCTGTGTACTTAATCCATTGCAATCAATTGAATATATGTATTTATTCCAGTCCAGTCCAGTTCCAGAACCTTGGGTTTTGTGGATGACATCACATTTTAGTTATGGAGTGAGAATACATTTTTGCATTTTCTTGACCCGAAAATAACCTACTATGTGTCAAAACTGATGAGAGACGAGATGAGGGAAACTAGCTCTCTCGTCTCGTATCGGAGACGAGAGATTCATTTTATCTCGAACTTTTGAGACAATACGAAAGGACGGGTCTCGTCTCGCGGCATCATTACTTCCGATTTGAATGGTACAACCTTGCGTGCATATTAACTTTTATTTTTATAATGGACTCAAAAATTGCCTCCCTTAATAATGATATTCAATTGGAAAACACCCTGTATTCATCTTAAGAGAGGAAAAATCGATTATGAACTTGAAATTTAATAAAAGCAACATTTTTACATAACCCTACTTCCATCAAATGTTCAAGTCGTTCGAATAAATGTTTCTTTTAACATTTTTGGTATGGTATTTTTATCTAAATAAGAGAGCAAAGTGTGAATTGGAACGAACTGAAGGTTTGTTTAGACACCGGCTGTAAAATTATGACGTCACAATAATGACGCGTACGCGCAATGTCTTTGCCAGAATAAAAACTGAAATTGGCAAACCAGAAAATAAAATACATAGTTTCAGGTATGAAGATCCATCATATCATTTTTCTTGTTATTTAGGGGCCGTTTATATAAAGCCTGGTTGACCTAAGGTTGAGTTTCAACCAGCGGTCGAACTACTGACATTTCCGTATGATTTTATATGGACATTTCAGTTCAACCGCTGGTTGAAATTCAACCTTCGGTTAGCCGGACTTTATAATACAGGCCCTTAGTCTGTTTTCTTGATGATGCAGAATTCATACCAAAGCATCATCAACACCTGGATATTGCAACAGTATTGAGCTAACAATAAAATATGTTTACTAAAGAGTGATACAATGCCCTTTTTTCCTGGATTTCCTAATTAATTTCTCGCCGCTTTGTTAACCTGTTGTTCACTGGACATCTGTAGTC